AAGTGGCTTCACACCGTCAAGGAAACTAACAAAAAACTTCTTCGGTGGAGTTTAGCTCTCCAAGATTTTGATTTCGACGTCCAACACATCTCAGGAGCTTCTAACAAAGTGGCTGATGCACTCTCCCGTGAAAGTTTCCCAGAATCAACTGGTTAAAATCGTCCTTGAAATGTGGAAAATATTGTTAGTCTTTATGTACTTGGTAGTATATTTAGAGATGCATGTGTCTTATTAACTCTGTTTTCCTAGAGCTCCAGGAAGAAATCCCAGCCAGTGTTTCACCCTAGCTGAGATTTGGGGGGCGTGTCATAAATATAAAGGGAAGGATAAACCCCTTTGAAATCCCTCCTGGCCAGGGGAAAGCTCCTCTCACCTGTAAAGGGTTAAGAAGCTAAAGGTAACCTCGCTGGCACCTGACCAAAATGACCAATGAGGAGACAAGATACTTTCAAAAGCTGGGAGGAGGGAGAGGGACAAAGGGTCTGTGTCTGTCTGTGTGCTGCTCTTGCCAGAGACAGAACAGGAATGGAGTCTTAGAACTTTTAGTAAGTAATCTAGCTAGGTATGTGTTAGATTATGATTTCTTTAAATGGCTGAGAAAAGAATTGTGCTGAATAGAATAATTATTTCTGTCTGTGTATCTTTTTTGTAACTTAAGGTTTTGCCTAGAGGGGTTCTCTATGTTTTTGAATCTAATTACCCTGTAAGATATCTACCATCCTGATTTTACAGGGGGGATTTCTTTATTTCTATTTACTGCTATTTTTATTAAAAGTCTTCTTGTAAAACACTGAATGCTTTTTCATTGTTCTCAGATCCAAGGGTTTGGGTCTGTGGTCACCTATGCAAATTGGTGAGGCTTTTTATCCAACATTTCCCAGGAAAGGGGGGGTGCAAGTGTTGGGAGGATTGTTCATTGTTCTTAAGATCCAAGGGTCTGGGTCTGTAGTCACCTAGGCAAATTGGTGAGGCTTTTTACCAAACCTTGTCCAGGAAGTGGGGTGCAAGGTTTTGGGGAAGTATTTTGGGGGGAAAGACGCGTCCAAACAGCTCTTCCCCAGTAACCAGTATTAGTTTGGTGGTGGTAGCGGCCATTCCAAGGATAACGGGTGTAATATTTTGTACCTTGGGGAAGTTTTGACCTAAGCTGGTAAAGATAAGCTTAGGGGGTTTTTTCATGCAGGTCCCCACATCTGTACCCTAGAGTTCAGAGTGGGGGAGGAACCTTGACACTTGCTGTCGGGAAAAAGCGGTTTCTCCGCTTGCTTGCTGTGAGCTATCTACAACCTCATCATCATCATCATCTTCTTCGTCCCCAAAACCTGCTTCCGTGTTGCCTCCATCTCCATTGAAGGAGTCAAACAACACGGCTGGGGTAGCCTAAAATGGCATGCAGCTCATCATAGAAGCGGCATGTTTTGGGCTCTGACCCGGAGTGGGCATTTGCCTCTCTGGTTTTCTGGTAGGCTTGCCTCAGCTCCTTAAATTTCACGCAGCACTGCTTCGGGTCCCTGTTATGGCCTCTGTCCTTCATGCCCTGGGAGATTTTGACAAATGTTTTGGCATTTCGAAAACTGGAACATAGTTCTAATAGCACGGATTCCTCTCCCCGTACAGCGATCAGATCCCGTACCTCCCGTTCGATCCATGCTGGAGCTCTTTTGCGATTGTGGGACTCCGTCATGGTCACCTCTGCTGATGAGCTCTGCATGGTCACCTGCAGCTTATCACGCTGGCCAAACAGGAAATTGAAATTCAAAAGTTTGCGGGCCTTTTCCTGTCTACCTGGCCAGTGCATCTGAATTGAGAGTGCTGTCCAGAGCGGTCACAATGGAGCACTCTGGGATAGCTCCCGGAGGCCAATACCGTCTAATTGCGTCCACAGTACCCCAAATTCAACCCAGCAAGGCCGATTTTAGTGCTAATCCCCTTGTCGGGGGTGGAGTAAGGAAATCGATTTTAAGAAGTCTTTAAGTCGAAAAAAGGGCTTCGTCTTGTGGACGGGTGCAGGGTTAAATCGATTTAACGCTGCTAAATTTGACCTCAACTCCTAGTGTAGACCAAGGCTTCTTCATTTTATAGTGATTTCTCTTCAAGCTCTGATTTTAAAAATGAACCTGTTTTACTGGAAGAGTTAATTTATTTCAATTACATTTTCAAATTAAAACATTGTAGACCTATGAACTATATTTCAAAACTTCAGTTGCTTATAGGAGATTACATAGGACTATCAAGAAGAAAGAAAAGATTTGTTGAGGAATTACAGGTGTGAGACACTGTTCAGTTTCCAAGTGTACTGCCACTCTTACCAGAAACAATTACTATTACGAAGCTTCTGTCAAAGAGCCCGAATTTCTTTTATTTTAGATCCACCTGCACAACTGTCCTGAGCTGTGCAATTTTCTACTTTTCAAACGGTAAAACAGGCCTGTAGATGTTTGCTTACTGTTGGATTGTGGCAGGTTGATGGTTGGTGTCCTTACTCTGAATTTTTTCTGTTCTCTATTTTGCCTTTCTTCTCATGCAACTAACCCAAGGGGGAAAAGCTGGATATTGTGGAAAGCTCTATTTTTAGTTACTCTATTGAGGGTGGAAGTTTATAGTTAAAGAGAGAATGTCGAAGTGTACCTATAGTGGCATAGCTATACCAGCAAACCTTCCTAATGAAATTTGGCCTTACTGAATGAAGACAAAGTGTCCTTATGAAACAATTGCCATGTAAAATGGCTTTTAATACAGTTTATACTGGTTTCCTGAGTGAAATAAGCTACACTGGAAAAATCACTTTTATGTGAGTATACCTGCACCTACACTAAAGCTTTTGCCAGAATAGAAATGTTGTAAAGAAAATCACACCCCTAACTGACATTACTAAACTAGCTAAAGTTTCTAGCACTGACCTGGCCTAAGCTGGACAGACGACAAGAGACTATTACACAAAAGAGTTACTGTGTGACACTTGGAGAGGGAAAAGGATTGGATATTGTTAACTAGAACCATATGGCAGGCTTACAGTCATAAGTCTGGAGGGTTGCTATCCATGCTAATTTTGATTATGCTGTTTGATTTTGATGATAGCATACAAGCATGCTTTCACAGTCTGCAAATCTTTTGGGACAGGTGCAATGAAACAATGGCAGGCTGATATCTGATGATTGAGTTAAAGGATAAAAAATGTGACAGTCAGACATACTGAGTAAATTACCATGGACCTTATTCAGCTTGTTGTAAAACACAGTATTTTGATACTGGGGAGGAACAGAGATAGCTGTCAACTGTGCTTAGTTAATTTTCATTACTTCAAAGCTGTATCTACATTTCAGGTTTTTTGTAACAGTATGTATGTATAATAGGTTGGCGGTGTTTGTCCGAAACATCTCACACTTGTAGCAGGTTTGATTCTACTGGGAAAGGGTTAAGTGGATTGTAGCATCTCCTGCACGTACGGAAGGTGGAAGTGGCTCTTTGAGAATAAAGGATCTTGGGTGTGGGGCAAGGACTCCTGAGGAACCACCAAATGCAATTGAGGTTTGTGCTCATCTGGGTATTACCTGACTATTGGAGTGTGTTTGTAAAGTATCTGAAGGTAGAGCTGCTGCCAGCAGCAGCACTGAAGTAAGGATGGCATGGTATGGTATTGCCACCCTTACTTCTGCACTGCCTTCAGGGTTGGGTGCCCAGCCAACAGCCACCACTCTCCAGCTCTGAAGGCAGCACAGAAGTAAGGGTGGCAATACTGTGACCCCCTAGAATAACCTTGTGACCCCCCTGCAACTCCCTTTTAGGTCAGGACCCCCAATTTGAGAAACACTGGTCTCCCCCCTGTGAAATCTGTATTGTATGGGGTAAAAGCACACGAAAGACCAGATTTCACCATCTGTGATGCATTTTTCATGGCCGCGAATTTGGTAGGGCCCTACTTATGCCAGTACAGTTGGGGGCAAGATGACAACTTTCACACAGTGCTGCAGTTACGTGTTATGGACTAGTACAACAAAAGGCTCTCAGACATTGATTTGCTGATCTTCTGGTATCCATAATGTGAAGCCATACTGTACGTAACTTCCTATCTCGGAATAAACTGTAGTGGTATAACCACTTTTGTACTAGTGTAATGGTACTCACAATAGAGGTGTTATACCACTCTAACTATAATGATACAGTTAGAGTGATACAACTTTTGGGGGACCCGGTATAAAGTGACAGAACTTTTATGTGCAGACAAGGCCTTAGCCTGCTCTTCCCTGTCTCTTAGCCTATGTTTGATTTCAAAAATCCCTCTCTAACAATAGGAATGATGCAGGGGCTATAGGGCCTACATACTTATGGTTACCATAGGTCTGGATTTCCTGGACATAGCCTCTTTTATGAGCTTCTTTTCTCTGTCCAGGTAAATTTTTGAAATAACAAGAAATGTCCCAGGTTTTTGCAGAGCAGACAAGCTGCAGCTCAGAAAGAGCCTGCATTGATGCACTTCCCCATGGGTCCCTCCCTGCAAGCCACAACTGCTGGATCCTACCAACCCACACCACAGCTCCTTGCACGGGGGAGCGCGGGCCCTACAGGGAGGCACTGTCTGAGGGCTGTTGCTACATCCTGGGCTTGCCCTAGCTACCCTACCACTGTGATAGGGAGTGACACTGCCCCCCCCCCCCCCAGCAGTGCCCTCTTTTGGGGAACCTGAAATACTCTCACGCTATACACTAGTGTGAAGCAACAGTGTTGTTCTTTAGCTCAAGTGGGGGAGGTTTTTCTGGTTTTGGGAGCTGAAAAAAACCCACTTCTGTAGAGACAGCAACCCCCCCCCCCTTTTTTTTTAAACGTCTCTTGAGATCCGCAATATCTGATTGCAGGAGCAGACAGGGCCCCAGTTAGCCCAGGAGCGACACCCCCACAGAGCGCCAGGCATCTGTGTGAGCACCACCCAAGAGCGAGCTTCGTCACGCCCGCCCGCCCGCACACGAACGAACGAGAGACGCCCTGAGGCTGCCACAAGCGGAGAGAGCCCGCTGTGAACAGAGCCGGAATTGGACGGCAGTTGGGGGCAGCTGTACCCTGCTAGAGGCGGCGCACGGACCCCACCCACCTGCACGATGGTCCCACCACCCCCCAGACACTGCACCACACCAGCTCAGGCGCACGAGAGACAGCGTCCACGAGAGATATTGTCTCCAGAAGCGAGATTGACAGGAGCCTGAGCCAATGAGAGGGCGCCTCTCGGCAAGTTGGCGGTTGGCCTGCCGCGGAGGACCATTTGGCCAATGGGCAGCCAGGCGAGCTGCAGTGGGCGGGCTCTCCGAGTAGCTGGCGGATGGAGCGGCGGCCGCTGCTCGACAGGGTGGGCGGGGGCGGTGCGGGCTGAGGAGCTCGCGGGCCTTTAGGCGCCGCCTCAGCCCCTGCCGGCGAGGAAGCGCGAGCAGCGGCGGTTCACCCCCCGCGCGCGAGAGCCCAGGTGGCCCGGACCCAGGTGAGCGTGGCGGCCGGGACACGCCCCTTCCTCAGCCCGGGGCCTGGCGGAGGGCAGGTGGGGGCCTCGCTGCGGGGGCTCCGGGCTGGTACCCCTGGGCTGAGCCGCCGGCGGACCCAGCCCATCCCGTGCCGTTGCCTCGGGGGCTGGGACCCCCCCTCCTCGGCTGTCCCTCGAGCGCCCGTCCGGCCTCAGGGGCCGCGCCCCGCTGCGTGTTGGGGGGGTCCCAAGCCGGGTCTCCCCGGCCAGTGCCCCAGCCCGGCTCCCCCGCCCTGGCGGTGGGGGGAAATGCTGGGCGCCCCGGAGCAGGGACCGTATCCTTGGAGGCTCCTCCCCGCGGGGGCTGCCCCTCCCCACGGACCGAGGCGACGGTTATTTATCGCCGCTGCCGAAGCTGCCCGGTCGGCACCCGCGCAGCCCGGGACGCGTGGGGGCGGTTGGCCGGTCCGCGAGCTCCGCTTCTCCCCCCGGCGCTGTGGGACACCAGGGTAAAGGGATGTAGCTGTAAAGAAAACTAAGGGGTGATGGTGAGAGAGAGAAGCTACATCAGTAAACGGATGCGAGCAAGACCGTTGAAGGGAGCAAGGGTAAAAATCCAGCCTTAATTTGTCTTGTGTTCTAGGAATTAGACACGGTGGTTGGTCCTGCCAAGCCTGTGTGCTGCAAAACCCCAGCACAACAGGGTGGTCTGGCCTTTGATCATCCCTGAATTGCTTTTCGTTTTTGCTAAGGTTGTTATGATGGTTACATTATTTATCAGTCTTGTGCACTCTACTAATGCTCAGTGATAAAAGTATTTATATTATTGAGCGTGGTACACGTGAGACTTTCTTCAGAGTGACTTACAGATTTTACCTTGGATCCTCACAGCCATCCGGTACTAGTGCCCTCATTTTTACAGAGGAGGAGGAAACTGTAGCAACGAGGTTTCCTGCTTGTAAGCAACAGTGATAGCCAGTGTCAACTGAGATAAGAACTAATTCGGTTTTCGTTCCCAGTCCTGTGCTTACACTCATTCTCCCAACCCTAAATACAGTAAAATGTTCTAATGAAAGGAAAGGTTTAAAAATGGCTGTAATGAGAATGTACCCATTTATTTTTCTCTTTATAAGTTTTCTTTTTGTATATTATACAAAAGAGCTTTTTAAGGTTTTGTTGTTGGGTTTTTTGCTATTGTGAATTTCATTTTCTAGGCATTTGTGCTCCAATGTGTGTTAAGGTTTCCTCAGAACCACAAGGTACTTTAGGTCCTGATCCTACAGAGACTTATGCATAGTTGGACTGCAGGTTTGGGGCTTTAACGCATATCAGGTTTTGGCACACATTTGAAACTACCTCATGTCTATAGACCAGAAGTCTGGAAGCATATAGACATTAGCCAATTGTTTGATTCAGTAAGCTAGGGAGCACCTCCTGAGAGATGTTGAGGGCTCTCAACTGCCATTGCCTTAAGCGTCTTGCAAGGTCAGGCCTTTAGTCACATCGTCCATAGTGGGGAAGCCTAGGCCATCTCTATACTGGAGAAGTTTTACAAGTTTAACTAAATACATCTAGATAAATTGGTAGAAACCATATAATATAAATATACTTCAACTGGCTGACCCCTCATTTAGATCAGCTTAGTTTGCTAAATTACTTTATGATAATCAGTAATTTAAGCAAATGGAATAGATGTTTGAGGGTTAAATGGTTAAGTACATCAACATTGGAGCATGCACTGGGTTAACTAGATCAATTTAAAATTTTAGTTAAATTGGTGCAACCTTTCTAGTATTGATAAGGTCTTAGAATGTGCAGTCTCTGATGCAGTGTAGTTCAGTTACGCCTTGCTTAACGTTGTAGTTATGTTTCTGAAAAATGCTGCTTTAAGCGAAACAATGTTAAGCGAATCCAATTTCCCCATAGGAATTAATGTAAATGGGATAGTTAGGTTCCAGGGGAATTTTTTTCACCAGACAAAAGACTTTTATTTATTTATTTTATATATATATATATAGTATAAGTTTTAAACAAACAGTTTAATACTGTACATAGCAATGAGGATTGTGAAGCTTGGTTGAGGTGGTGGAGTCAGAGGGTGGGATATTTCCTAGGGAATGTTTTACTGCTAAATGATGAACTAGCAACAGTCAGCTGACCCCCCAAGGGTTAACAAGTTGTTAATGTAGCCTCACACTCTACAAGGCAGCACAAATGGAGGGAGGAGACACACATGCACTGTGTGAGAGAGAGAGACGCGCATTGCCCCTTTAAGTACACTGACCCCACTATAAGTACACTGCCCTTTTATGTAGATCAGTAGGTTGAGACAGCAGCTGCTGCCAGCAAGCTCCCTCCGTCTTGAACCCTGTTGTCTCTTCCCCCCCCCCCCCGCGCTCTGTGGAGATGGGGTACTTGAGTAGGGGGCACCCTGACATTAGCACTCCTCTTTCCCCCCTGCTGTGCACAGCAAGCAGGAGGCTCCTGGAAGCAGCTCCAAGGCAGAGGGCAGGAGCAGCACACGGCAGTGGGGGGAGGGACACCTGAACTGCCTGGCAATTGATAGCCTGCTGGGTGGCTGCCGCACAGGGAACTTGGGGGGCTGCCGGTCCACCCTGGTTCCAAGCCCTCACCACCTAGCTCCAACCGGCTGCTCTTTCTGCAAGCAGTGGACAAAGCAGGCGGCTGCCAAACAATGTTATAAGGGAGCATTGTGCAACTTTAAACGAGCGTGTTCTCTAATAGATCAGTGAGGTGACAACGTTAAGTGAGGAGTTACTGTACCCCTAAATAATAACTAGGTTATGGGTGGAAAAAAGTGGGGCCTGGGGGAGAGAAGAATAGCATAAGAGCAAAACCATCTATCCACAATACTACTTACTTCATTTGGAAACGTCTAGTTTTGCACATATTACTGTGGCTTGTACTTTCTTCCTTCCCCTTTCTGCTGCTGTTTGAGACATTCATATATCATTCCTTGTCTTATAAAAACTCTTTGGGCAATGACTGTCGTCTTATGTGTTTGCAAAGAACAGTGGGATCCCAGTTTTGATTGGGACCTCTAGATGTTATTGCAGAACATCATAATAGCTCTCTAAAATCAACATAATGCTGTTACTGTCAGCATTGTTGACATCATTAACCTCCTAGTCAATTAGGCCTGTCATCTGAGAGTCATTTTAGGTTCCTCCCTCTTTCCAATCCTACACATCTAGGCCATATAAAAATCTCACTACTTTTTTCCCTTAACACTTCCAAGATCTTTTCTCTCTGTCCACACTACTTTAACTCTCATTTAGGCCTTCATCTTCTGACTTAACTACTGCAACCTACTCTCTGGCCTTCCTTATGTCCATCTCATCTCCCTTAGAACATTCAAAATGAGGGTGATAAATAATTTTTCCTGAGCTATAATTCAAACAGTGTCAGTCCTCTCTCTGAATCTCCCTACTGGTTTTTTTCTCTCTCTCTCTCCCTTCACATCAAATTCAATTTTCTTGTCTACCTTAAAAGTCCTTCACAACTCTGTCCTTCCTATTTATCTATTCTTATATGGCATTGTCCCAAGTGCTCTCTCAATGTCAGCCTTTATCGCATATTTGTCCACTTCTCCCACAAGTACCTTCTTGATGCTTCTTACATGTGGAATGCCCTCTGCAAACTAATATGTAAAGCACCTGCCCGACTCTGTTTTTAAATTCCCTCAAGGGTCACTACAGTGATTATACTAATGGTAAATTACCAAGTGAAAAAGATTGGGAAGGCTTCTGATTTAGAAGATATAAAAAAATATTTATGAAAAGACTTGTAACCTGAAAGTTGTGTGCAGTGCTAGTCTGCGTAATCATGTTCTCCTATAACTGTTACCCCTTTCTCTCTATTTGTTTGTGACACACTCTTGGTGCATCTTGTCTTAATTGTAAGCTCTCTACATAAGAGTCGTTCTGTTACTATGTATTTTTATGGCTGTTAACACAATGGGGCCCCAGTTGATTGGAGTCTTAAGGTGCCAGTATAGTAATAAAAGTTCTTCTTTTGCTCTTAAGTGATGACCTGTTTGAATGAGAAATAAATTATCAATTCTGAACTGGAAAACTTAAACCCAAAGAAATTCTCGCCAGCTGAGTAACAAACTTCTGTCAGATGGAATTTGAAATAGAAGATCTGGCAGTATCTTAAAGAACAATATCGGGTACTTAGGCTTCATGTTTATGCCATTTCATAATTATGTAGTCTGGTATGAGGAAAGTCCTCCAGATTTCTCTGGTACTTTAAAAAAAAAAAAAAAAAAAATCCCAGAAACCAGACATTGGCCTGTTTTGGGACGTTTGATCTGCTCAGGTAGTGCAAAAAGGCTGAATACTTAGAATTTTCCAGTAAATTGAGCTATTGACTGGGCAGTACTAGCATAGCTAGCTCTTGCACTACACCCTGGTATGAAGGGTAGTGGTGGGGAGACAGGTAGGGGCATGGGCAGAGTGTAGTATTCTCAGATGATTCCTTGTGGACTGCTGCCAGCTGGTGTAGGTTGAAGGAGCTCTGAGGCTTTGGTGTAACCCATGCTAGAGCTAAAGCTGTGGTTAAAAGAAAGTTGGAGGCTGCTGGACCACTCACTCTCCTGCACTACACAGACTGCTTATGATATATTTTTGTGCCTCTAACTGATCAATTGTGTTCCCTTTGTAAACAGGAGTAGAAGCATAAAGAAGTTTGCTTTATGAAGGCTAATGAGTGACTCAAGTAACAGTTTGAAGCGGCATAACTGCTGGACTGGTTTTACAGAGCTTTTGAAACGAGAGATCTACATCTCTCATTCTTGTTGGTCAAGTGACGCTAATGGTGGAATAAACTGACTTCAGTACAACTGATCAATCCAAATTGCAAGTACCGTATAAACAAGTGTGATGTTGAAATGAGATGAGGCTCCGAAATGGAACTGTGGCCACTGTGTTAGTTTTCATCACTTTTCTCAGTTTGTCCTGGTACACTGCATGGCAAAATGGTAAAGGTAAGACAAATATTTTCTGAAAAGAAACTGAACTCTAGCTATGTGTGAAGGAGAAGTGAATGATGCAACATATGCTGTTTTTTTTAAAATGCTTTTCTTAATGCTGGTAGGCTGTAAACTGAATGTTGACTACTTCTGCTCAAGAGTATTACCTTGATGAGTAATGTGCATCTGTTTTTGCAGTCAGAAAATCAACCTGGAGGGATGCCTATTGTGTTTGTTTGAAAACATATTTCTGTGGAGATAAACAAAAGACTTTTTTTTCCGTAATGGAAAAGGGTTATGTTAGGCAGTATCTGCATTGCACACTTGCAGGAGAAACAGATGGTCTTCTTTAATTTTTCCTGTGACAGTTGCCCAGTGGGCCAGGCTGGAGAATATAAACATTACTTTTTGGTGCCACTTTCTATTTTTTCCTATTGATTTGGTGATTGAAACGGCAAACTGCAACTCAACATCTTTTGAGAGATTTTTCTCCCTTCTGACTTGCCCTTTGGGGGAAATGTAAAGTATTTCCAGTTTGACCTGTTTATATTAAATATTCCTTTTCTAGTAATTTAAATAAGGAATTAGTGAATTCTATATATTAGATTTTTACAAAACTGATATGTATGTTTGAGGATTGTATTACTGTCATCTCAAGTCACTTCAAAATGATGAATATGCTCTAATTGTCCCTGCTAAGACAGACTTTCTCAGTGCGGGGTGTGAGCACATCAAACTTTCTGGTGGAGCAGGGGGTTGGTGGCGGCACAGTGAGTCTCAGAGAAAAGTGCCATGGGGTGGGCAATTACCAGATCACAATGCCTCTCTCTCAGATTTTGGGAAGGGACAGCCAGGTTACATTTGAGTGAGTGGCATTGTGACTTGGCACTTATTACTTTTGCCATCCTTCCAGCGCCCCTTATCTGACCCTTTCTAAACAGGTAGGGATGTTTTTATAGCACCATTTGACTTGCATTTTCAGTAATTTGCCTAGTAGTCCATGAGCATACATGTGGAACACTAGGTGGCAGTCTACTCGCATTGTAAGGATGGGTGGGGGATCCAAGTTTTTAAAAATAAAATAAACTTAAAAAATACTAAGGTGGGGCATGGTTTAAAAAAAAAAAAAAAAAAAGGCTGGGAACCCCTATGCTAAGAGAGTGCTGTTTTGGGGATCTGATCCTGCACCACTGAAGCATTGACTTACCGGAAAGCAAGCCAAGACTTGCCAGGAATCCCATCTGTTACAGAGAGAGCCAACCTAGAGTCTTTCTTTAAAAAAAAATCTGTGGGAAGAAAGAGAAACAAAGCCTTTGGGAAGAAACATACGGGCTGTGTTGCAGGTTGGCTAATTTGTCTTCATTGGGCATTTGTAGGAGAAACAGATGCTGTATCCTTTAATCTGTTTTGTAACAGTTGGTCAATGGGCTTGGCTGCTGAACATAAACATCAATGAAACGGCTGGATTCTTGAGGTCATGATACTGTAAATTTGTTTTAATTGGGCAATAGAAATCTAAATTTGACAAACAATGAAAACAGAAGGATATTAATACTGTACCAGAAATGCTGAATTTTGCATCTTGGCTTATAAAATACACGTACCCTTTCTAATAAAAGTTTCATGCTATATAACTTGGACAAAGATATTACAATATGCTGTTCCTGCAAATTCTGATGACAATGTCTTTGTTTATAAATACCTTGATACATATCTGTGGACTTCTAGCCAGGGTGGATTTGATTTAAATAACTAGTCAGGAAGATTTGATTTAATCATGGATTTCTACTTAAAAGTGCATTCTTGTTGGTTGTTATAACCTTAATACATATTCTTTGCAACTCAGAGAGAGACGTAGGTTTCATTTTTAGAAGGTACACGATATACGTTTTTAAAGTGATTTATTTTGAAAACTTTTCAGATTCGTTTTACAGCTATATCAGAACATGAATGATTGGTTATTTCATTTACTAAAGGTAATTGAAGCAGATATTTATGAAGTCGTTGGGAGGTGAACTATCTCCAATTCAACAGGTTAATCAATAATATTTGGAGGATTTTCTTGCCATGCTGTATTAGGAGGAGAACATCACCAGACAGACATTTAAATTGTTTTATTTAACTAAAACAACAACAACAACAACATTATGTATTCTGGATTTTTTTCTTCAACAGCAAACATATAATATTATAACAAAACAAGCATATGAATTTTTGAATTTAGCTAAACATTCAAGTTTTTTAAAATCAGGTTTGTTTTTGTTAATATTGTGTTAAACTAAAATAGTTAAATGAAATATTTTTAAAAAATTAAGTCAACTGTGTCAGCCAGGTCAACATGAGAAACTTTAAAATATTGGCTTCTGCAGCTAACTCGGTTGTCTTCACCTTCAATTTTCCTGTTTGTTCATAATCTGGAAAAGAAAAACAAGCTTTCCTCCTCTTTCAGGTCCCAAACGATTTCTCAATTTGGAATGAATTAATCCAAAGAAAGAAAGAAAGAAAATATTCTTTCTACACCGGCAGAAGAAGCTACTGCTGTTAAGAGAGAGATTATCACTTCAGCAGTCTCTGAATCCAAGTACTAAAGTGACTTCCACCAGTTCACTGGTGTAACTTTCTTTAAAACATCCTCAGCAAACCTGTTTCTTGAATGGTTCACCCTTAGCTCTGAAGTTTATTATAGTTGGCATTATGGAAGGATGATTGCTGGATGTCCATGTCATAGCCAGCTCCTCTTCTTCATCAGTTAAGGTTTGATCCTGCTACCGAGTATTGAGAATATTTGCAAGAAAATGAGCTGGAAAAAGCTTGTAATTTAACTCTGTCATTGCATATTTCTCTCTTTAAGATCTCACTCAGTTCCTTCCAAATTTCAACAGCGTCAGCAATAAAACAGCTATTTCCCTGCATTTTGTTCAAGGTTACAGAAATAGGCTTCAAGGTACTCAGCATGTGTTCAACATTTCTCTTAAGCCCAATGTTGAGAACTTTGGCTGTGCCATCTCTTTTTTTCACGATTTTGTTCACAAACTATCGTCGGATTTGGCCAGTTCTTGATACAGTACTCAAAACAGTCCATTACTGAGTTCCATTGCATGTCTTGAGGGAGAGTTGGCTTCATTCCTCCCACTTTTTTCAGAGCAGCTGCTGCAAAGTGGTTCTTGCGGAAGTATTTTGCAGTTTCAACAATATTAGCGTTTATTTCTGGAACACTGAAGTCTTTGGCTAGGAGGTGCATCAAATGAGCACTGGAACTGTACATTAACTTGGTACTCTCTTCTAAATAAATTCTTCTCATCTTGGATACATTTGCAGCATTATCTATGACCAAGCTGCGTATTAGACATTTGAATTTTTTTTCCACAGTTTGTTATAGTTTTTACTGCTGCTACTTGTAAGCATTCTGCTCTGTGTGCATTTCCTGATATATCAATTGTTTCTGTAAGGAAGACATTCCCTTCTTCTGTTGTCACACAAGCACATACAACAGGATCATTGTGGACATTGCTCCACTCATCAAGTCTCAGGTTAACCATTTCACCCTTTAGACTTTTTGCACGCTGCTCAATTTCTTTGTCATACACTTTGTCCAGCAATTTGCCTGAGACATCTGCTCTGTTGGGGGGACTGTATCCTGGTCTTAGTCACTGAACCATGTTAATGATGTGTGGGTTATCAATCACACTGAAAGAAGAGTTTGTTGCGTAAACAAACCGGGCACTTTTTCATCAATTACATCTACACTTTGGTTTTCCTATAAGAAAAATAGTTTTGTTTACTATTCCAAAGATTTTTTTTATTACTATGTGCTTCAACTAAAAAACTCTTGTCTCTAATTTCAGATGTCTTTTGTAATTTTAAGGAACTCATTGGGTAGACAATGGGGGGGGAAAACAAATTTATTAATAATCACCTTTTATTATTTTCATTGATTAGTTACAGTCTGTACAGTTACAGTTACAGTATTACAGTATTAGATACACACATTAGGTAATAACCTAATGTAAGGTTTTATTCTGTTGGTGCTAGCGAGTCATTCAAGAGTTTGAACAGTAGACTGCAATTCAGTGGAAATGGTGGTTGGGATGTTGGAATGCATTCACAAAAGGATGAGTGCATTACTTAGCCACAAATTTCTAGTGTTGCTTTAGACAAATCACTTCTTGACCTCCCTTGGCCTCAAGTGGCTTGAAGCTTAATTAACGTTTTGTAAAATGTTTTGATATTTTTTGAAAGAAAGGTGGTATTACTATATGACCAGTCTTGCTGACTAGGAATTTGGGGCCACTCACAAACATTTAAGTTTTCAGTTAATATCTTAATGCAAGTACATCATTTTGTATGTCCAAAGTCACAGAACATATTAGTCAATCCTATTCAGAGGGGAAACATGAGTGTCACAGATGGTGCCTTCTAGACAAAACTGTAACAAGTGATCAGAGTTTCCTCTTGAAAGTAATTAAATTTTACACTCAGCAAATATTCATCTTTTTGTAAATTTCTCAGGACAAAAGTGGTTCCCCTGGTCCCTCTATTACTAAATGTAAAAGAGTAATGTGTTATCCTAGGTAATTTTTATATCTAACATTTAAATTATAGTAGCACACAGGTTCAGGATCAGGCACAAAGATGGCTTTTGCCCTAAATCCCATATAAACTGTGAATAATCAGGCATAATTTAAGGGGGATAAAAAGATAGCTTTGAGTGCTGGTAAAAGTAATAAATGTATGGGCTAAATTAAACACAACAACAGAGGTGTAAGAATAGGAACAGGAACACTACGTACACTTACTGCAGAAGAAAACACTTTCATAGAAAGAATCTGTGGGGAAAAAATAACTGCTTGTTGGTTCTCCTCTGAAACAAAATAGTATAGTGAATAGACTTGTTCAGTCTACTTTGAAGTCCTTCGCTGTTATGACCACAAAGGCCATCTGGACACTAACCATCTCCTTCCAGGCTGGTTTGCATAGCTGTCCTGCATCTTGGAAATTACCTTCTGGTAGTATCA